CCTACCTAAGAAAATAATCGGCGGGGATGAGCCTTGTACCCCTCAACACTGGTTGATTCAATTGAATCTATGTCTATTTGCATAGGACAAAACCCATACAGGTCGGGGATCAAGAAAACAATACACCTGCTTGTACCGTAAGAGGCGATTAATTTCCTTACGCCCTGCTTGGCAACACCTCACTTTTGGCTTTGATATTGAATGTTCGCCAAGGTAAGGAAGGTAATGTGTTCCTTCTCCAGTCCTTTACAGTAGTAGTTGTTGTTCCCTGCTTAAAAATCAGCATTTAGGGGAATGGTAACAACTGGTTCACCCGTTGTCAGAATAATATGACAGGTCAGAAAGCTGTATTTCAGTGATGTAACTCGGCAATATATCCGCGCTATCATAAGGAGGCAAATATACCAACATACCATGCCTCATGCACACACACGCAAGCACCCTTACATAACACACACGGAGGCGGCACGCCTTGAATTACTTAGCTGTTGATAGAATGTTAAACAAAATAAAACCAAACCAAACCAAGCATAGAACGGTCTCTTTAAAATGGGTTTGTTCATATATAACTATCTAATTGTTAAGTGATGAAAATAAGGTATGATACAGATACCGTTTCACCACTGCTAATTCTACCCCGGCTTAGGGCTATGAGACTGTGATCGTCTAGGTACAACAAAGAACCCGTCTCACCCGACTCTCTCGTGTTGTTAACACCTGTTACATTAAAACTCTTGCTATTTATTTAATGCAGAAACTGCTTTAAAAGTTCTTGTTTAACCTTTGTAAAGGACGTATTTATCAAATTATATTTTCGGCACTATCCAACTCCAAAATGCATTGATTTCGAATATGTAATGTTGTACAAATGTAACTAGTCAAATATTCTTTTATTCTCTCTCAATATCGTGTTTACGGTTTTGCTGATTCTGTGTAAAGTTATATCAAATGTATAAAACGTATATATATGACAACATAAACGATGGTGTCAACACCCTTAGACAAAAGTTCAAATTCGATACAGAGAGAAAACCTGTTAATAGAAACAGCGGAATACAACGGAATTTTCCTATACACAACGATGTGCTAAGTATTTTAACATTCACTGTGAACTATTGTACGTATTTGCGAAGTAATTGATTCGCTTTTAGCTCCGTATGTAAGATCGTAGATAATACCTATATACCGAATATATGTGAAATACGACATATTGTGATGTGTTTTCGTTGTTAGTTTCCAAACTGGGAAATGCACGTTGTATTCAGGGCATTGTTATGTTCCAGGAGAAGCAATAATGGCTTATTTCCGTAATGTTGAATTCGCAGTTAAAGTTCAACGCAAAACCTGAAGCGTGAAACAAACGTCGCAAATATTACCTGGTATCCAGTTTACACCACATGTCCTCACGGCAGGGCTGCGAGGTCTTCACTTTTAATCTGAACACGCATTATCACAGACCATTGTATAGAAGGAATATGAACAAGATCATGTATACAAAAGATGACAAGATGATACCCGATTCTATATTTTTCAATGGAAATCGATAATCCTGATATTTTTACAATAAGAAAACATATATACCGTACATTTAAATATCAGCTCGTAACCATTATCGGTAAATGCTCTGTTGTTATAAATGTACAAAAATGTACCACTCTTGGTTCTGGCCACAGACCAAGCGTGCTACAACGTCGATACACATTAACATACTGCTATAACATGCATTCGACAAAGCATCATTTTAGGAAAGTTGTCTGCATTCTTTAGATTTCGGTTATATATCATTGTATACGGTAAGTTACTGTATGAAATACTTTAAAATTTTAATTGTTATGTGTCTTATATTTTATCATATATACCACATCACAACGTCTATGGACAAACTCAGTTGGTAAGAAATATTTTTATCATTTTGCTTTGAGACAGTGCAAGCGTACTGAGGCAAATTACTGTCATTGGCAAGCTTTTGATCTTAGGAATACAAACGCACAAAATATAAGAAAAGAACTGATGATATATGTAGTTAAGAGCCCGATGGAATATTCTACATCATAAAGCTTGCATTATTAAACGTGCAGAACTTAAAAACAACTGTTTGCATTATATAAAAAAAAAGGTTTATTATAACAGGCTAGGATAATGACGGTAGGTAACATAATGTTCTCACACTCATCAATATGACGCATGTTATAAAACGATCTTCTGATCAACTGTAGCCATGATACAGTTCTTGATTTCCCGATAGCTACATAGAGTATTTTTTTCTTCAATAATAATGTAAAAAACAGTACAATTAAACACTAATGGAGAATACATGTATATAAACATGACGTGGTCATTGTTAATCCTGCCTCGATTTACCCTAGCCGAGGGGCTTATTGTTTTCAAATATTAGTTATACCTTATCATAGTTTTACCTTTGTTTTTGTGTTATGTTAGTGTTCTGTGTGTTTCTGCGTCTCGATAAAGCAGAGGATCGCTCCGAATATTTGACATCATATTGTCTACACAGTTGGAATTGCTTCCTTGTCCCATTGACCAATTTTAATTTGAATCCTTCAAACATACGTTTGTAAGGATCCAGTGTTATAAGGGAATTTACTGGTGATGTTACTTATTTGACCCATTCAATGTACATGTATTTATATATATAGCTGAGATGTTTATAGCATACTTAATTGAACACATACCATATCAAAATATTGTATTTAAGTTTAAAAGATAGCAAAAAAACCGTTTACTTCATATAAGATATTGTAAAGTGAAATCTATAGCATTTTTTCCTAATTGTCGTTTAGTGAAAAGAGTTTAAAGAAAATTTATCTCAAGATAAACGAAGAAATCGAGATAACCAAGACTGTAGTAAAACATTAATAATATGCATACATTCCTTTGATACGTATTTATGAAGCAGAAGCTGAAATATGAAATCTTAGATCGTGTTAACTTTCATACCTGATATAAATCTGATTTGTTTCTTAAAATATGTGAAATATTGATGCATTTTCAAACTTCCTATCCATAAAGCTATAATGCTATTTCACTGTCCTCACGAATACAAGGTAAACTCCGTACTTCGATGGGAGGTACTTAGTATAAGGACAAGATTCACATACTGTGCAGGACAGGTTTTTGCTGATCCCTCTTTTCGTCCCGTATGTTGGGCCTGTTTTAATTTTGTATTTCTGATTTATTTTTGGTGTGCCTTATTTCCTATTGTTGTTTGTTTCTTGAATTTGGTTTAAATTTGTATCGATGCTGTGATACTTTTATTTTTACAACGGCAGGTATGAAACTGATAACTTATAAGATACACACCAAACAATTGAACGTATTAATGATATGTTAACGTAAAAGGTTTAGCTTAAAAAGGCAAAATAGCGGCAACCTGTAAACAGAAGACAACCCGTTGCATATCTTATTAATTTAAAATTTAAAATACCCTTTTTTATTTTTCAATAATTATCAAGAAAAGACGGAACTTATATTAATCGGTTTTATTTGTCCTGATGAAAGTGAAGAGGTTGTTGATGCTGAGGATACCTAGGTACTCGGAGAAAGTGATGTGGTAGGAAAATTGTCCAAAAATCTTCTCAATTCCTATCAGCAATCCATCAAACCTGACCAAATTTGTGAAAGGTAGGTGCGCTATTCGTTGCGCCACCCGGCCCTAACGAATGTAAGAGTGTATAGTCCTATTATGTAGGTTCTGATTGAACCTAAACCTCATTTCGTATTTATTGTACGTAAAATCCCTGGTATAATATCATGTATAATACACAGTTAAACCTCGATAAAACGCCTCTCTATGATATTCAGTCAACCTCGTGTTAATGCCCCTCGTTTATATACAGTAATATTTCGTTATCATGCCCATCGTTAATATTCAGTATTATTTTGATATTGTGACTGTCTTTTATATAAGGTAAAACTCAATATATAATCATTCTTAACAATTTTTGGATGCATTCAAATCGAAACAACACCGTTAAAGCGTCATCAGATCATAAATTATCACAAATTAACACACACAAAAAAAGTGATTATGTATATTTATTTCATTTTCTCAATTTCCCAGGTGATTTGTGTGCCCTCATTGTTCTCCTTTTATCAATTTCATGTTGGCATGTTTGCACTTTCGTATGCATATTTTTTTGTCTAAGTAAGGTCATTGGTAGTTTCTTTATTTAGTCAGTCTGCCACTGATTTCCCAGTAAAAATGGCATGAAAGTCTGCTTAGTGTTTCCGTCACCAATTACCCTATACGAACTGTCCAGAAACAAATATATCCATCTTGTGCTAATTCAGACAACTAGGTTAAGCCGAATCTCTGTTGGATAAACTCGCCAGTTCGAAAATGTACTCACAACTAAACCTGTACTTTTAAAATCATTCTTTCTGTGATATAATACACCCCACATCTCAATAAAGGAATGTATTCACACCTTCCCGCCATATACCTTTCACATTTGCCCAACCGAGAATTGCTTGTCGTCAATAGATGTAAAAACAAAATCGCCAAATTGTATGGTAAAATCACGCCGATGTCGCCACTGGCCGCCATTTTTTGGCGACATTGCCATCGATTAAGCAAAATGTACAGTAGATAATACTCATACGAACAATTATCAACGCAAACAATTGGAAACATAGCCATACGTTTACAAATCAGTGTCCAGCTAACCCGAAATAATATGATATATTATTCATAACGTGCGTAGATTTGAAAATTGCGACTTCCTCGTGATTATAATCTATGGGGATTTGCACGGTTCACATTCTATACGTGAACAGCGATTGATGTCACTGAAGCGCTTGCGGCTGTAGAAACAAGCGACCGATATTTATCGTCAATACTTCTCGCTCCATGGGCGCGCCCGTTCAACAGTTAGCGCCACATGGTATGGACAGGGGGGCGGAATGACACAAAGTCCCGCCCATTTCTGGTAGTAGCGTCTACAGCGCGCCATATGGGTATATATATATTGCTTCATTGCAGATAGGGTGACAGTAACTATATTATGTGAATGCAAACAGCAGAGGTCTTTTTAAAGCAATCGACAGCACGACGAACACGTTACCTGGTTAAGGAGGTCCCCGCAACATTCGTCACAAGAACAACTCCTCTACCTGAACACCGAAAGGTAAGCTTGTTCTGTATAATCTTTTTAATTCAGCTTTCTAGTTTGTTTGATATATTTGACATGTAAATTTTCCATCATCAAGACCGTAACTTCTAAAGTTAAAACGTCAGAATAGATATAAAAACAGTGTTCTAGATAGGTCATTATCTTCTTTACATTAAATTAGGATAAAATCCAAGCATTCATATATTGTCATCGTTTTAATTCTTGATAATTGGACTTTTGATATCTGTATTGCACTTTTGGTTTTTATTTTAATCTTAACGTCATTAAAAAAAAGAGATAAAGTAACAGTTATTAAGATTACAGATTTACTAGCCCGTTCTTGTGTTTATCACTGTTCTAACGTGTAACCAACATATGATACATACGATCCTGGCATTTGATAATTATTTTGAACTTTAAAATCGATAAAAAACATCCTCATGTACAAAATCATCTAACGTTCACTAGTCGTCAATAAATATCGTTATCGCTAAAGTTCGTTGCTGTGTACGCTTGGGGAACATTTTAAAGAGCAGAGAAATGGAACATTAATTCAGAGTTTTGTCATTGTTAAAAGATAGACTGAAAAACTATTCCGCAGATCGCTGATATTTGCTAATGAGTAAATCACGAAATAAGAGGCAGAAAACAGTAACAAGATTCTCTTTCGTGGTGTTTGAAAACTGATACTTAATGTCATCGTCACCTTTTCGCTTCAGCAATATTTTCTAGATTCAGAGGCTCTGTTTTTCCTTATAGATATATATATATATATTTTTACGTACATTTAGTTTTACGATATCAAGTGTAGTTTCATTTTAAAAATCAATGTATTAAGCATGCGAAATCAAATCGTGTGTGTTTACGAATTCAACAGTGCATTTTAAAACCGTGATCAGCTAAATTGGATCTAATACAAGAGTTGATCAAATCAATACAATTTCAACCTTGTTTGTTTGAAATTAAGCAGTTTTAGGCAATTCAAACAATGCAGTAATCTTATAACTTTCTTGAAATATAAAAAAAAATCTTTGTCTAATCTGTAAGGTGTTAATTTTGTCAGTCATGGAAATCGATCAGGTTTCAGATGTTAACAGTCTAATTAACTTAACAAATCGTTAACACAATTTTCAAAATCCAGTTTTTGGAGACGTCTGATAATTAACAGATATTTTTGTAGTGTGATTGGATAATCAGTTTGAATCCGTTTACACATAAGTGTCAATTTCTATTTGTGAAAAAAAGGTTTTTTTACCATTCTATATACAAGATTTTCTAAAGATTATTTTTGTGCTTAACACGCATTAAACAATTTGCCCTAATGCTGAAGTCTGCAAATAGTCTTTAAACAATGTTTTAACATCGTTTCAACCTGCAATAAAAGGAGACTTATTTTATTTCTATACAGATATACAATTAAACGGAATCAATACGTGTTCAGTAGGCTCTTGAATGTTATATTCTAAAACCGAAGTAGGCAGTTCCATTACGTATGGAATTACGAAAAATAAAAAAAAAGTCAATTAACGTTAAGCTACAGAAATCAGAAATAAAATAATACTTACGAAAAAACGTAGAATACAAAGGTCTATATTTATAATCATAAAAATCAATGTTAACTGGATACTTTGTTGGTCGACTGACTGTAATACACACACGGTAAATTAAACATCTCCGGATAAATCATTTCTCAGTTAAAGGTTAATGTAAATCTTAATTGTGAGCAATCGAGGATTTACCGTATTGACAACTGTTATAGGACATTAGTGAAGATATAAAGACAACCATATCATAACGACAATCGATTAAACTCTTATTGATACCTGTATCTACTAGAAACTGTCAGGCGTAAAAGACTGTGCTTTCTTTTCGTCTACGGATTCCATGGATATACCTCTATGGGAGCAAAGCTCTTTGTGTGATTCGATAAGAAATGTTCGTTAAATGTTCTCCAGCATTCGTTGTTTAACAATTCTGTTCACCAATGTAATTAAGGTAACGACTGCATCACAGCCTTCCTCTCTGCCTGGTAATAGTTGTTAGTTGAGCATTGTGTTCTCAGTTTCATTCAAACTGTTGTTCTCCGCCAACTCTCCATACGATTATCTAGCAAACATCTAGTAGAAACTCTCAATTTCTTAAAGACCATATACAAATCATACCTTGTATATTTTGGAAACTATCTGTAAATTGCTTCTTCTAGACTTGTTTGAGTTTTGGGTACTTGATTGAGTTTTTGATTATATGCGTCGACAATGCTACCTACTGTATATCATTTATTTTATTTCACAGTATACGTCAATACATCTCATATAGTCAAAGTGTAAGCTGACACAAACACACTATTTTTTATTTAGTACGTTATTGGTTTCCCCATGCCAGCACTTCATACCCTATCACCAAGTATAAAAAAAAAAACGCTTACTTGAATTTATGATACTTATTCCTGTCAACCCATGCTGAGGAAGTCAACGTTTCGCATTAATGTAGTATAAAAATCATTACGCCATATGTTCTTGTGCTATTAAGAGTTCTCCGAAATCGCCAGAGGAATATATTTAAGAGAACAAGAAACAAGCTCAATATCAAATAACAGTCATATGGAAGATTAACCTAACCTGAAAAACGGTCATCCAGGGAAACTTCCTTGATGGTCTTTAAGAAACCATGGGTTCGATCGTAGACAATGTGAGATAAAATTTAGCATACCATGCGATGGAAATGCCTTTGTTACATTCATCGTAATTAGGACTCATTTAACACAGCATTTGTTATACAAAAAAAGTCAATTATATTATCATGACCATTAACTGTTCAACGTTTGGCCAGAAAGGTCAATTCTAAAGACTATTTATATAATTCAGATGTACTTCAGCTCATATGTCAGGAAATATACATTTCGTAGAACATCTTATGGCCTAACTGTTCACAATTAAACACGCCTGGACACAATTATTTTTCTGTTTTCAATTGCGATAATTTAGAACTTCTATTTAATATCCACGTTTGCATCTAAAAGTTGTTAGTTGGGCATTGTGGTCTCAATTTCATTAAATCTACTTTGTAAATGGGCCGTGATTTGCGACTAGCACTTTTTAAATTCTCGACTGATGACACTGCCTTGATGACGAAGCACACTTAATATACCACACGCCGTTCTTGGTTCACTTTAATTCTAAGACGTCTTTTTTAAGTGATGTCAGTGCACTTATTGCTGCGCGAGGAAAGCGCAGATACAAGATGTTGCTCCTCTCAAACATGTTAAAGTGGCTCGCTGATTGTCAGGGAGCATGTTAAACTGACAAAGTTACAGAAAGGCACTCTCGCTCTAGCGACCTAATATACATATCATGTCTCGATTTGTAGTCAGGTGCTTTTGTATTGAATCTGAAATTTTTATAAACTTGCTATCAGGAATCGAAAAATTAACAAATAAATATACTTTTACTACAAGCGTAATCAAGACATCAAATAAAATAATGCATATTCGAAATTTTCTTACATACGGTATAATATGTGCAACAATGTTCCATATGTTAACTAAATAGTTTCTCGATTCCTATAAGTTGAATATTGTGATTCTTCCCATTAACGTAGTGCATGAATATTACTCAGTGTTACCAATTACTCGAATATGTGTTTTAATTAGCTTATTCTGGTTGCTTATATAACTAGGTTTCTTGGGATTTAAGAAAAGAAGATTTTGAAAGTTATAATTCCATAGATGAGTTCATACGATGGATTATTGGGAATACCATTTATACGCAGATAAGTAACTACTCGTTTAAATTATCGGATTTTACTTTAGCTTTCCCGTATCTACAGTCAAACCAATCTCAAAATATGATAAAAGAGGGAAAGATACAAATTACCTTCCCAGCTGTTGCCACATTTTGAGGAGAAAAGGTAGACTGGGTAAGGTTTTGGAAGTAAAAATCGAGTTCATAATAACAATTTCCTTGTTAACGGTTCCCATGGAAGTCTATTTATAAATAAATTTACAGAAAGCACGTGACAACCTTTCACGCAGACTGTCAATTTCAACTTTCAAAATTTACTGGGTGAAATAAAAGTAACAATTTATGGTTTGAAATATCGCCGCGTTGAATGTTAACATGGGTAACGTTAAATCCAAAGACAAACTTAGTGGCAATCACTTGTCAGTGTAAAGTCAAAAGAGGCTCCGATAATTTAGATTTTCAGGAAATAAAGCTTTCCCCAAGGAATGTTGTACTTTCCTGATCTTGTCGACACACGGAAGTGTTGAAGAGTACATTTTACTTATTGAGAATAGTTATAAGGCGTTATTTAAGAGGACCAGAGGAAAAGAGAATATATGTAACCGGGAGTGTCAAAGCATTAGCACAAACTGCGTTTGATGATGTGGTTTTAAAATATTCCTATTAGCTTTTGAATGTATTTTTATGTCAGTTTTTCATAGGAACTACTTTCTACCACTTTTATTATAAAAAATAGACAATTTCCATAATAATGGGAACTATTTTTAGCTACCTCATATTTCGATGGTATGTACATCCAAAATATCCATTTACATGTGTATCCATTGTTTCATTGACCATGACCAAATGTCGTAGATCTTTGCAATGATGTGAACAGATAACAAACACACATAATAGGTCAAAGACATGCTTGTAGTTATATGAATTATATATATGTGTATGAGAAAGTAGCGGTAAATTATAAAAGATAATATGACGTCACTTTTAGACAACAAACACATCTTCACATTTGGACTACTGATTGCTAATTGTTCGATCGTTCAAAAAAGCTTCCTCGAAGAGACTTTTCCTTTTTTTTGAAAAGGTTTCATCATTGAGTAATATGTCAATATCAACTATGTGCTCTCTAGAACATTTCGTGTTTTTGAATAAATATCTTATAAACGCCGTGATGGTATGAAAAAAACCGACTTTCTTAAAAAAAAAAATCTGTTTTCAAAGATAATTTCTTTTTTTTTTATTGCATTTGAGAAAATATCACGAAGACAAAAAGAA